GGGACAGCACAGGGTTAGATGCAAAGTAAAACTTCCTCTACACTATCTCCATCAAACACTCCCAGGACGGGGACAGCACGGGGTTAGATACAGAGTAAAGCTTCTTCTACACTGCACCCCCCCCCCCACCCCATCAGACACTCCCAGGACAGGTACTGTACGGGGTTAGATATGGACTAACTTCCTCTACTGTTTTAAACTGAATATAGAGTCAGTTCTACACTGTCCCCACCAAATTGCCTCAGGACAGGGACAGCTTGGGGTTGGATACATAGTAAAGTTCCCTCTACACTGTCCCCATCAAACACTTCCTGGACAGTGACAACACAGGATTTGACACAGAGTAAAGCTCCCTCTATGCTTTAAAACTGAAAGTAGAGCTCTCTCTATTCTTTTAAGCTTGAAAATAAAATTTCCTCAACACTTTTAAACTGAAATTAAGTTTTCTCGACAGAGTAAAGCTTTCTCTACACTGTCCCCCATCAAACACTCCCAGGACAGGGACAGGATAGTGTTCGATACAGAGTAAAGCTCTCCATACTGTCCCCCATCAAACACTCCCAGCGCAGGGACAGCACAGGGTTAGATGAAGTTGTTGTGGCTAAGACAGAAGTCAGACATAATGAAAAGTAGCTGTTTTATGAACTTTGCCATGTTCAACTGTACTCATAATGAAGCTGACTGGAGTTCAATAGCTGCAGAATAATATCATCATGAGAGTCAGCACTTTCAGTCAAGTGGGATGATGAATGGGCATTGTGAAGGGAAGAGGTATTTGTGAATGAAATGTGTACTGACCCTCTGCTGACGCCAGTCCACGGGGCACTGTGTTGGAGTGGCACTGGCCTGGGGCTGGGTGCTGGTTCTGGAGTTGTTGCATGGTAGTGAACACTGGCTGACTACCTCGGGCCTGGTTCTGAGGAGGAGACATGCTGAGGAGGGATACGTCCGAGAAAACGGGACACTCTGAGCGAACAAGTCTGAATAAAAAAGAACAGCAGTTAAAACCAGCAGCAAAATCATTCACAACGCAAACCTAAAAAGGGTGCGAGGGGGTTTCATTTCCTCAGAGTGCTGGGCAATGCACACACTGAGCGAACATTCTTGCGCAGGCGATTTGCATGTTTTAAGCATTCGAGGCCAGCTGCTCGGAGTCTGCATTTCCGTAGCGCCCGTCTGTAAATGCCCCCTGGTGCACACAGCGAGGGCTCTGAGTTTCTCGTGCTGCCTTTGTGCCTGTCCAGCACCACCGAAACCTGTTCCCCCTTTTGCTTTGCGGCTGCCTGACCTACACATTGCGCTAAGTGTCTATACTCGAAGGGGGCATAGGTTTGGCAGAATACCTTCGGAGGGGGAGGGGGGGGCGGCGGCAGAGGAAGAGGGACTCGGGGAAGTGGCCAACGTGAAACCGTACTGACCCCTGTGAACTGAGAAGCGGATATTGACCGGATTCTGACGAGGTGGAGATGGGGAAGAGAAAGGAAGGAATTGGTGGGGTTTGGGGGAAGAGACGGATTGGTGAGAGGAGAAGCAGGATTGAGGAGGAAGGGAGAGGAGAGAATGAAGAGGCACAGGAGGACAGAAAGGGAAGGAAAGGCGAGGAAGGGGAAAGCAGGAGGTGGAGGGGGCTGAGGCGTAGTACATTGAGAACGCAATTATTAATGACACTGAGAGAATGCAGTGACATACTGGACAGTTAGATGACAGAGATTGTGGGTCAATACAAGAGTGGGACCTCCTGAGAGTCATTTTTTGGTCAGGCTGAGATGGCGATGCTGCAGAGATACAGGTGGGAGCAGTACAGAACGGGGCCCTGAGGCCCAGAGCTAATGGTGGGCAGGATCAACCTCAGGTTGTAGCCATAGTGTCAAGAAAGCAATGGGGGCAGCTCAAACCTGAAGGTGAAGGAAGAGGAGGAGGAGGAGAGGTGAGGGGAGAGAGGAATTCATGCCACTCAGCTGTATTGGTATGCACACTTCGCTAACAAAACAGCTGGACTCAGACATAATGCTGCATCTCCATGATGACAGGGAATTAAACCTCACCATGATGAGAGGATGGACTGATGTGATCTTCATTTGCAGGCTTAGTGTTCCACCCTGATAGACAGAGGTGAGAAACAGGAAGGGACCAAGAAGAGTTTGGAAAAAGCTTTGTCATTTGGTCTATACTGAGATCCAGGAGAGCAGCAGCAGAAGAGGTTTCACATCACTGGAGCTGAAAGGGTAACATACATCCAGTGGTCTCTCTTTGACAGTGCATACATGCTTGTGTAGGTGCCTGTATACATTATGTGTGTACATATTTACACTGTGTTAGCACAGTGGTTAGCACTGCTGCCTCACAGCGCCAGGGACCCGGGTTCAATCCCACCCTCGGGTGACTGTCTGTGT